AACCTATCCTACACGGAGCTGTGATGCGGTGCGGTTTGTGATGAGGCTCGATGCATGAGGCGGGGCGGGGCTAGCTCTGCACGATATGCCATCCATCGCTCGGTGTCGGGTGTCGGTTTGGGCGCCACGTGTGGCCTGTGGTCGGCACACCTGACTCGCTGCCATTCGTCTCCAAACACCGCCCACCACTGGACAGATGACGTCAGTAGGCCTGTCACCGCAGCACAGAGAACGTGTGATTGAACTGCATACGGATGTCAAACGATAACGAATAGCCAGGCACAAGTGTGGACGACCGGGAGAGAGCAATGTGGATCATTCCCTTTCATCATACCATAAGCACGTGTCTCCAATGGTTCAGCACATGCTCGTGCTCCATTTTGATGCATCAGCTTCAGCTGGCTCTTTGTTCAAAATGGCTCGGATCCGGATGTTCAACCCGCGCCCTGGTGGGGGCTATTTTTTGCCCCCCTCCATACTTTTCGATATACTAGCGGCGGAACATCTTCAATTAAGGGGGGGGGGCAACTTTTGGTCCCATTCTTTTCATGCAAAGCTCATAGGGCTAATGTTAAAATGCCAAAATCAAAGAGGGGCACGGTGCCCCGTTGCCCTCCCCGTTCCGCCGCCTATGTCCCGCGGACACATTGTGACACATTGTGACCAAAAATTTTCCCAAAGGCTTTGATAGTTTGGCCGCAAATAACGTCAGAGTAACGTCATGTTCTGCCGTTTTCGACCAAAAAAAAAGTTTCGCGGGAAGAGCTGTCAGGCCTATAGCTTTGAAAATACAGAAAAACGTTTAGAACATAAAAGATGTAGAATTACCAGGGCTAGAAAACTGCTGTCTCGGAATTTTGATTTTTGTGAATTTTGACCCCGAAAAATCGATTTTTTAAAAATATTATTACCAGAAAATCCAAAACATTTCGTTAAAAAAACGGAATGTACCTATGTGATAGCCCTTTATACCGTATTCTATTCACATACCAAATTTCAGATCGATACCTCTTTTTTGGCCAAGTTATAGCAAAAAAATTGTAATGCTTATTGATGACGTAGGATTTTCAAACTCAATTTTTAGCAATTCTAGACCACGTACCTAGCGCCAAACAAAGATCATCAAAAGACTCGCCGTGACGAGCTGCAACGAATCAATATCCATTTTAAACAAAAATATCAATTTGGAAATTTGACCTTTTTTGACCTGACATTGACTTGACCTCCACCAGGAAGTGACTTACATAGGTAGGGGAGACTGGGGAGAAGTGGGCCATTATTTTGACGTCAACTTTGAAAAATCGCAAAAAATAGAATATTTAATATTTAAATAAATTTATTGCATTTACTGGTAAACAGTTTATTTCTACTTCATTCTTTACTGTTTTTATGCGTGTTTGTTCACGTGTTACTTCTAAAATTTAAATTTTAGGAAAGGTTGACAGTGGGGTGAACTGGGACACGTCCAGGAGAAGTGGGACAGATGATGGGGAGAACTGGGACTGGTCGAGAAATGTGATTTAAATGGAATACAATTAAAATTTGATGACCCATCAGTATCACGAAGGAGTTTTTAAAATTGACACTTAAATAAATCACCTCGATTATCTTTTTTGAATTACACTGACAGCACTGAGTATATTGGAAAATTTTCCGATGCATTTGCATGCGGGAGAACTAGGACAGGGTTAAGGCACGTTGTCCCAGTCCTCCCCAAGTCGTCATTTTTATTTCAGCTGCTCTCCCACACAAAAAGTATAACAGATAGGTACATAAAAAATGTTTCTGCATAATTAAGATGACCTAACTGATATCCAAAGGTGAACGGCCTGAACATTTCACATCGCTGAATAAGCGGCAAATTGAATTAGAGTAAAATGCCAAAAAATCACATTTTAGACCCTAACCCAATATCTCAGAGACAGGCAACCGGAAAAGGAAACCGCGTGGATGTGACGTGCTTCGACTAAATTCATGAGAAAATATGCAAAAACAAAATTGTTTGTCCAATCGGTCACTAAGATATTGAAGGTGTCCCACTTCACCCGCGTCCCAGTTATCCCCACTCTCCCCTAAACCGTTCCTGATGGTCTTATAACTAACACCATTGAGTTTGAAATGAAAAAAATGGCCATAAAACATGCATCACACAGTCTAATAGCAACATATGTATTAGGCAACTAACGCCCTATCGCTGATTTTCGATAAAATGCGTTTTAGGTACTCGATGTTATAGCGCACTCCCTAGCCCTCGCCGGACCTATTGGTTTTCATACGCGCCGGCCGAGGGGGGGAGGGGCGGGTACGACCCCCCTCGCCGTTTCGCCCCTGGTGGAGCTAACGCGTCGCGGAAAAAACGAGCGTGTGCGCCGTTACGAAACGCAGAGATTGGAACCCGATTTTAAGGTCCTAGGTTAACCGGTGACCTCTGAGGTCAGGTCAAGTGCCCCAAGGTACGGTTCAGTTTTTTGGTGAATAACTTCGCCAAAAACAGCCGCAGAGCGCCGATTTTGGTAGCATCGTGTTCGCCTCGCTCAGGCGCGTCGAATGATATACTTTTTGTTTGGGTCAGGTCAACTTAGAATGTTAACCTCAGGTCAAGGTCAGGTCAGCGCCCCCAAGTCACGAAATTGGTCGGAAGAGGTCATGTCGCATATCATTCGATTCGGCAGGTCTTCCTGAGTCCACTGGTGGCTTTCCCGACTCGCTAGCTCAATTTGATCGGGAGTTATTGACGAAAAACTAATATGCCCTTGATGACGTCATAAATGACGTCACGCAAGGTCAACATTGCAAAAATGACGCATCTAACCTTGCAAGGAGTGCATCAAATCACGATTCTGTGTGCTTGAGATAGTTGGAGATCGTTCCCGGCGCCAGAATAGCAGTTTTTATTTTTCTCCGTTGACTTACCTTTAGGGGTGAGGTCACGAAAATGACCTGACCTCATATGACGTTTATTAAAAATCCGAGATATACAAGTTGTGAGACTCGTAATGGATACTAGATCCTGCAAGTTTCATTTCCCTTTGAAAGCTCCTCTGGCAGTGAGGGCGTTGCGAAGTTGCGACATCTGAAGACCGTGCAGAGGTTCACTTATGACGTCATAAGTCAGAGACCTAACCTGACCCGAAAATGCAGTTGGTGTCAAAAGATCCGGCTTGTTACAAAGGTCAGGTATGCCACGTGGGGGCGGCGGCACCCCCACACCCCCCGGCCGGCGAGGGCTAAAAGACCCGTGACCGACGAAACATTTTATCTTTGACCTGACCTGTGACGTCATCAGTGACCCTAAGGTCAATGAAATTGGATTTTTCTCGACAAATTTGACAGGGCTTTCGAACACCGTTTGAATTTTGCCAAAGCGTCCAGCAGTGTCGGAGATACGAGGGAGGCAAAAATAGCCCCCCCCCCCCCCACCACCACCAGTTATAAACAGACCCCACCAGGCGCGGGTTAAGGCTGTGTTCTGATTAATGTTTACCTACTTTTCATGACCGCTGGTCATTGTGTTTGAACACCCTTGTCCAAACGTGCGTGAAGATAGGTACACTACCTATAGCGACGTATTCAGCGACGGATTCAGCGTCGGATTCAGAATTCGCTGAAAACACGTTATCAGGTCAAGTAGGGCACGTTGATTCCAAAAATGGACATAAAACACATTTTTAAGGTTTCAGGGTCAAATTTGAGGTCAAAAGACGGGGTACCCAATAACGTCCCGAATTATGGGCGCAAGAGGACCAAAAGTGGTCATACATGATAGCTCGTCACCGTGGGCAGACTCCTTGACCATGACCTTACTTTTGACCTTCAAGGTCAAATTTGAGGTTAAACAACGGGGTGCTTGATAACGTCTCGAATTTATGGAAGGAGGGGGTAAAAAACGGTCCCTAACGACGGCCAGCCTCGTTGGCTAGCCTCCGCTACCCTGACCGACTGGATGTTTTTTATCAGCGAACATAAGGCTGCACAGCTCATTACCAGTACCATCCAGGCAGGCTATCGATAAGATCATAGTATAGTCACAATGCATATAAATATCACCGAAAAGGAAAAAGGACCTGGATTATGGATGTTTATCGAATCGCTGTTGGAAGATAAAAATTACTTAAGCCTTATCGAAAATGTGGTTATTGACGCCGTTAAACAATATGCTGTTCCAATATACTCTGTAGAGTTTGTCGAAAATCACAAAAACTTCGATTCAGTGGAACTTACAATTGACTGTAGCTTATTTTACGAAACTTTGTTAATGCTTATCCGCAGTGAAACAGTAAAATTTTCAAAACAAAGAGCAAGAAACTTCAGAGAACAGACCTTGAATACAGGTACTGAGAAATTTCCTTTAATCTAAGAAAGACTACGCTCGCTCCGTAATAACTCACCCAAACAAAAGGTACGCTGTTAGACGCGACGAAACATGCAAAACACGATGGTGCCAAAATCGCAGCTCTGCGACCATTTTGGCGAAGTTGACCTGACGTCAGAGGTCACGGAGTTGATCTGAGACATTAAAATCAGGCGTCAGTCGCACTCGCTACGTTTTGTAACGACGATGGGGTGGGGGGCGTACCCGCCGCCCTCTTCCCCCTCTGTCGGGGCGCACGTAATTAGAAAGCGAATAGGTCCGGCTAGTGTGAAATTTTCCGTGAAAAAATTACCAATACCTATTAATCGCATGATAAAAGCCAGCCTCCCGGCCGAATAAAGCTACAAGCTAGCAAGTAACTGATCGGAAGTAGCTAAAGAGTTTCAATTATTTCCTCTTAAGAATTCTATTGGACGTGTTCCTCGACATCGATATTTGATGACTGTATCTTCCTCGACTTTCACAGTTAGGTGTTGTGAGAGCATTGCGAGAGCCAGTCTGCTAGAGGGCGCTAGTGTACATACGGGGGCGGGCGTGTGAGAGCCAGAGGGCGCCCGTTCACCGAACTTTAACGTTGTTTGCAGTAGAGCAGCGCCGAAATCCCTCGTCCGTGAAAACAATCCAAACATACACTCAGTCATTTATGTCACCAGACATCCGCCTACCACACTTACACAATGAGTTTAACTTCGACTAGTTTTGTAAGCTGCTGCTGCTCTCACAATCCACGCTCACGGATTCCCGATATAAATACACGCTTAAAACAGTGTACAAAAATACAAAACACACAATAGATTCACAAATGTCGCCACCATTTCACCAGTTTCTGTTTGCAGGAACTGACTGAAGCTATATGCATGAAAACTAAGGAACGAGTAGTGAATTAAAACCATGACAAATATCACTATCGACAGATGGGTGCTGGCAGCTGCCCAGTGGGGATTCCAGTCTCATGGAACTCGAGGTCATCCTGGGACTCATGGGACTCGAGGTCATCCTGGGACTCATGGGACTCGAGGTCATCCTGGGACTCATATGGGACTCGAGGTCTCCCGGGAGAGGCAGTCATGGTAGGCTGATGAGATCCCGCCACTCCCGAGGTCCTCTGCTGGTGACACTGCACTGTTCACCGCTCCTCGGCGAGGACGAGGGGCGAGACAGTGGCGCCGAGCTCCCGTCTGTCGGCGGCACCGGACACCTCACAGAGCAGTCTGTGAGGACCGGAGCAGTCTGTGTGCACCAGACTCCTCACAGAGCAGTCTGCGAGGACCAGAGCAGTCTGTGTGCACCAGACTCCTCACAGAGCAGTCTCCACTCTGCCGACCGGGGAGCGCCGCGGGGCGCCCTCGTCGCGCGAGCCGTCCCCAATGACAGCCGTCAGCGACTGGGAACGGAGGTACGATGGCCGCTCGCCGCCCAAACGACAGCTAAACGTTGCTGCCAGCGGACCCCGCGGCAGGCTCCTGCACTGGAACTTGTGCCGCTCGCCGCCAGGGGTCGAGGTGGCCAGCGGCGTCGGCCGCTGCACCGTGTCGCCCTCACCCAGGCTGCTGGAGCGGCGTGGCCGAGCGTCGCCGACTGGTTTGAAGCCGCTGGCAGAGTAGGGAGGCGGCGGAGACGAGGGGCTCATTCGCAGGGCCGTCTCGGGCGACGAACCCGACGAGCCAGACTCCCCCGACTCGCCGGCGAAGAGCTGACGGCGAGCCGGCGGCAGAGGCTCCTCCTCGCTCTCCGGAATCGTCGTGGCGATGACGTTTGTACGCGGCGTTCGACAGCGTCGGCTGCCAAACCGATTCTGGAAGAGCACGGCGCGTGCCGAGTTGCGAGCGTCCAGCGGGGACTGTGCCACCCCGGCCGGCGAGCGGCTCGGCGTGGCGTCCGCCGCCGCCGGCCGCAGCCGGTCCGCCGCCGACAGTCGCGGCGTCGCGCCAGTCGCCGGCGAGGAGGTGCCCTGACGCGCGATCAGCTGTTTGAACTCTGTGAGCGATGTGGGCCGGGTGAGCGGCGCCAGCGGACTGGGAGCTGGAGGACCCGAGGCGCGGCCGGCCCAGCTGGCGCGCTGGCCGCCGCTGCCGCCGGACGGTCCCGGAGGCGCGCCTGACCAGCTGCGCCGGGAGCGAGCCGCCGCCGCCGCCGGACCGGTACGCACCACGGACGGAGGAGCTGGGGCACGAGCGCCGCCCGACGCCAGAGGCTGCGGCCGGGCGAACACCGTGCGCGTGCCGTAGATGGCGTCCGTGACGGGAGCGCGCAGCGGCGCCGCACTGGCCCCGGCGACGCGCGGCGGCTTGGGAACCAGGTTGGCACGCGGCGGCGGCGTGGCGTACATGGCAGACTGGAATGGTACCGCCGCCGCCGCCGCTGTACCGCCGTCCGGAGGGCTGTACTCGAGGAAGCTGTTTGAGAAATCGGGAGGCCGTGGCGCCGTCAGCTGGCCACCTGTTTCGCCCCGAGCCCGCGGTGCGGCGCCACTGTCGTCCGACTGCGCCGATATCGAGCTGATTCCCGCCGCGCTGCCCTGACTGGTGTTGAGCGCCGGAAAATACTGCTCCATCTCGTAATAGGACGAGGAAAGCGACGCGTCCGTGAGCGGGGTGGAAGCACGTGACGATACTCCCGACGACACAGAATCGGGGCTCTCGTAGCGCACGAAACTGGAGCCTTGGCCACTGCGGAAGCCTCCCTCATCATCTGAATCATCGGCAGTTTCATCTTTCGCCTTCTTCTTCTCTCTCCGCTTCATCGGCAGCGCCCACAGCCACTTCTTTTTTAGCCTCTTGAGTTTCTGTTCGTCAGTCTTGGGCTCGTCATCGGCCTCCGAACCACTCTGGTTCGCCATCCGTCGCAGTTCCTTCTCTCTGGCTGCTGATGGACTTTTGGATCGCAGACTGGCGCGGCCAAAACTGAACGGTGAAAAGGCGCGCGGCAGTCGCGACTTGGCCTTCCCGTCAGCGGCGGCAGCGGCCGACCCCTGTCGAGCCCTGGCTACTGACTGGGCCGCGGAAGACAACTGAGCTGGCGGCGGCGTGGCCACAGCGCCGGCGGCCGGCGTCGGTTTTCTGACGCGCGCGGCCGGCGGCGCGGCGGCGGGTTCCACTGGACAGGGACCGTCACCGGATGACTGGCTGCTGTCGGTAGTGGATTCATCCAATGCTGGCACGCGCCGGCCTCCGACGCCAGGCTGAGGCGTGGAGTGGGCCGTCGGCGCCGGCAGTGTGTGCCGAGGGACGTCCTGCTGGAGAGCGCCGGTTGTCGCCTCGGGCGTCCGCCTCTGTGGAGACGGCTGGTGCTGCTCCAGTCTCTGCTGTTGCTGGAGCAGGTGTTGGCGCTGCTGCTGATACAGTTGCTGCTGCTGCTGCTGCTGCTGCTGTCGCTGTAGCTGTTGCTGCTGCTGGGCCATGCGCTGTTGATACAGCTGCTGTTGTTGCTGCTGATACTGCTGTTGTTGTTGATACTGCTGCTGCTGCTGCTGCTGCTGCTGAAGACGCTGCTGTTGCTGTTGGTACTGATACAGCTGTAGCTGCGCCGGCGGCTGTGTGACCACTGCCGGCTGGGACCGCAGCAGCGGCTGTCCCAGTGTTGGCGAGCGCAGGTTGGCCGGCAGCTGGTGCTGCAGGGCCGGCGGTGAGCCGCTCCACGACAGCCGCGGACCGGTGCTCGCCGATCGGGCCCGTCCCGGAGGAGAGACGGACCTCCGAGCGACGGCCGGGTCCGCCGGGGACAGCGAGCGGCGCCGGGGGCTCGAGCGGCCGCCGTCGACGGCATGGTGCCCAGGCAGTGGCCGCCGCTCTCCCCTCCCGAGCTCTGGCTCCTGACGGACTGGACTGGCGAGCTTTCTCGTCTCCTGCTGCTGCTGACGTTTCTGTGGTTGTTGCTGTTGCTGCCGCTGCTGTTGTTGCTGTTGCTGTTGCTGCTGCTGCTGCTGTGGTTGCCGCTGCTGCTGCTGCTGAGGCGTCCCCTCGCCACTGGGATGCCCGGTCTCCTGTCGGGCCCCTGGACGGCGCGGGTCCGGAGGCGGGCTGGGCAGGGGGCTCGGCGGCGGGCTTGGCCGACCGCCGCCAGCCGCTCGCAGACTGGCGTAGACGGCTGCTGACGTGCTGCCGTAGCGGGCAGCCACGGCACGGTCCAGGGAGCCGGTGCGGGGCGGTGGAGGCCGCGGCGCCGGCCGGGGAGCCGTCTGGGAGGAGTGTGGGGAGAGGGAGCGTCCGCGCGGAGCCCGGCTCTCTGCGGACAGACAGACACGGACGGACCGGCGTCAGAGTCGCTAGTCGCAGCCAGAGAAAACAGACAGACAGGCCAGAGAGAAACAGGTAGCAACAGACGATCAAATCGCAAATAGGGGCACCTAGACGTGCGCAGAATGTTGAATATTGAAATATATTGAAACCAAAGACGTAAATAGCAGAAAATGTGACCGAGGGGCCACATAGAGAACATGTTAATTGATTAGAAGCAACGTCGATGGTCACAATTCAAAGTCATCGTCTGTTCTCAGCACAAACACTTTCAGCATTTGACCAACACCAGCGGCTATGTTAGCATATGCACAGCATGCAATGTACATAATAAAGCGGATAGTTGCGAAAGATTAGCACGGGAAGCAAGTGCACACGAATGCGCTAGGTCACAGCCACATCACACAAGTCCAGTCGAGTAAGATCGGTCCGTCCGGCCGGCTGTCCGGGCCGGGTGCCGGGAGCCGGGAGGTAGGGGCAGGGGCATGCACAAGGCACACGGACCATGCAGGCAGTGCCGCCGGGACTGTGAACAGGGTGCAGTGTGGCAGACGCGCCGCAGTGCGCAGCGCCACACACAAGCTCAAGCGGGCACCGTCGGTGCTGACAGGCAAACTCCGAGCACAGACGAAACCACGTGTATTTGAGGTAAAGACGTGAGACACAGAGCGCACCCGGTGGAGGGGCGCGGCTCAGGAACAGTGGCGGTGGGAGACCAGCGCGGAGCGGACCGCCGGGCGCCGATGAGCATGCGGTCAGGTGAGGCGAGCGCGGCTGGAGCCGTTCGAAATGAGCGGGTGGCGACGGAGGCCGCATTCCCTGATCACTTGGAATGAGGCAGTAAGCACAACACGAGGCGTCACGCCGGGACGAAACAGCACACGAAGCGTGACTGGAATGCAGCTACAACTAGGTGCAGTCTAGTCTATAAAAGCAAGCAGATATAAAACAAGCATGTACAAAAAAGCGGAATGCCCGCACAAGTAAAAAAAAGTATACAAAACGGACGGATGCGTTTAGTTGATATCTGGCTCTTGATATTGTACGATAACGTTGGCTTGTTCGTATCTGGCACATGAGATTGTCACGAGTTAATCTATCACAGAAAAACGTTGGCACAACGTGGGCGTATTTTGATCGTGGCAATCGCTCCGGCCGACTGCCTAGTTCGCCTCTAAAGGCGCCGCGTCCGCCAAGACACGTACATTTACTCGGCCTTCTGACGTGGCAGTGTGTTCGCAGCGGTTTAGTTCATGGACTGTGCTAGGAGCACCTCACCAAATGTCCGTATCGCAACTGTCGCCCTGACGCGACAGTTGCAGCGACCGTGGCACGTCCACCTTAGCGCGGTCCTTGGCCGACTGTTTAAAAATGTCGGGATCGATAAAGAGCCGCGGGCCGCGCTGTCGCCTGAAGCGCATGACCCGCGCTGGCTCCACCTCTCGCGGCCCGCCCGTGGTGATAGCCACCACGCTGCCACCGCCGTCCGCCGCAGCGGGCGCAGGCGCGGGCGGGGGCGGGGGCGGCTGCTCGTCCGCCAGATCCATCTCCACGGCCGCCAGCGCCGCCACGCTCAGCTTGTAGCTGTTGTTGCGCTGCACCGTGGCTGTCGAGCGGGACGACTCAGAGGAACGAATTGAGTCGCGAGAGTCGTCCGCCGAACAGCGTGACTCTAACGAGTCGTCCGCAGAGCTCGGCTCGAAAAAGTCCGTCTCTAGAGGTTTACCCGGCACGACATGCGTCTCGGCGGGCGTTTCGCCCGGAGTCGCCGTGTCTTTCCGTGCCCCCGGCTGCTCAGCCCTGTCAGCCGCGGTCGCCGCCGGCTCCTCTGGTTCAGTGGTAGGTACGGGAGGCATCAGAGCCACCAGATCGGGCGTCACCCCGCCCGCTGACTCGGCGCGCGGTGGCGGCACGGCTGTCACAGTGACCCCAGCAGCGGCGGCCGGGGCCGGAGTTGAGGGTACTGTGACGGCAGCAGCCGCCGGGTTGGCAGCGGGAGCGGCGCGCTGCAGGTTAACATACGCTCCACGCACTCGACTGGACGGCCCGGCGCCAGGTTTGATCACCGGCACACTTCGGCCCAGATCCGGGTCGAGCACGCGCATCATCGAGCTAGCTGGGCTGACTGAGCGGCGCTTTCGGCCGCCGACAGCCGGCGGAGTGGCCGAGCGGGGACGCACCACGGGACACCCGCAGTCGGCAGTGGCCACCGTCACCGCCGCGGCGGCAGCCGACGGCGCGGCGGTCCCGGACGCCGGAGACGCCGAGCGCGACGAGGGACGTGAAGATGGTCGTGACGAAGGGCGTGATGAAGGTCGTGATGAAGGACGGGACGAGGGTCTGGAGGCCGGCCGAGAACCCCTCGACTCCCTGCCGGCCGCCGGGGAGGCGGACCGCAGGGTGGCCGTCCTCTCGACGGTCGCCGTGGGCCCGGAGGCAGCTGAGGATGAGGACGAGCCACGTCTCAGCGTGGCCAGGTAGTGAAGCGGCCCTGCGGACTGCAGCGCTGCCTTGGAGCCGGGCCGGCGCAGGCTGCGGAACCCCGACAGGATGCCGGCGGCGGCGCTGCGGCCCGGAGCGCTCACCACCGTGCACACTGAGGCAGGGCTGTCGGCCGTGCCTGAAGTACCCGAACTGGAGCGGGCCGAGCGACGCGAGCCGACCGATGGCGCCGGAGAGGCTGCGCGCGACGACCCGGCCGACGAGCGTCGCCCCGTCCGCTCCGGACGGATGTACATCGGCTTCTTCTCCGGGAAGCGCACCATGCCGCGTGAGTAGTCGATTTTGACGATACCGGGCAGCCTGCCGTTGATGACAGCCGTCGATTCGGCGTCGCTGCCGTCGGAGGAGCGGCCGGCGCGAGACAGGGAGGACTCCCCATCGCTGCTCAGAGCGGCGGCTGTGGAACCCGGCGACCCGCTCATCATACCTTCACCGCCACCGACAGCCACGGCGCCGTCCGTCGAACCTGTCGAGACCGACGGAGCGCCGTCCGAGCGGCCGCTTCCCCTTCCCTCCGCGCCCCCGCCCGACCCCGACGAGCCGCCGCTGTGACCGGCGTCCTCACTGAGCTCCGCCACACTGCCGAACGGTGTGGCGGGCGCCTCGCGGGCGCCGCTCGCCGGTCCGGCTGGCCAGTCCGGCTCTGGCAGACCGGCCGCCAGTGAGCCGAGCGGGCTGGCCGGAGCCTCGAGGCCGCCGCTGAGCGTCTCCACACTGTCCGTCAGCGATCCCTGCGACACCGTGTCGCTGCCGCTCAGGGAGCCCATGCTCACGTCTCTGTCGCGCTCGGCCTCGGCAGGGAGAGGTAGCTGAGGACGCTCCCCGCCGGCCGGCGCGCCGGCGCGCGGCTGACGGCGAGCCGGACGGGGTGTTACAGTGGCGCGCGCATACGCCGACGCGCCGAGCCTCAGCTCCACACAGTCGCCCGGCTCGAAGGTAGTATGTGAGAGCGCTCGGCTGGGGCCGTCCGGTGCGTCCCGGGAGCTGTATATGACCTCCCCAGCCGGGCTGAGCGTCACGCGCGCGCCCACCCGTCGGCGCTGGTCGGCGGGCCGGGACGGACGCACCGCCGCCGCGAACGGCGCCAGGTTATCCGTCGGCGCAGGGATCTCATCAACAGTGACGTACTCTAGCTCACGGCGTCGACGATTGTCCTCAGCAGGCAGTGTGAGTCGGAATACCCGCGCCAGAGCGTTATCGGCCGTCATAATCTCGATATCCTGCGCGGTGGCATACGCCTCCTCATCTGCGTCTTTAACGTGATACTGATCAGGCGCGGCTATATCCGCCCAGAGTAAATACTCTCGGTCCCTAGTGCTCTTCTGTACGATATTATACAGATTAACCCGCTCCAGCCACGGCTCGGGCTGGCGTGGAGAGTTGTTGTTGGTGCTGTCGTCGTCATTGAGCCAGTCGGCCAGTTCGACCTCGCAGTCCCAGTCCGCCCACTCACCAGACTCGGGAGGGGGCGGCGCCAGCGGCGGCGGCGCCGGCTGCACGAGCACCGTGGCGCCCGCCGGACCGCGGCCGGCCACCACCTGCAGAGTCGGCACCGGGGAGGCCGGCGGCGGCCACTCCATGCTCGTGTCGTCACCGTCGCTGGGCGGCGGCGGCGTGATGACGCACAGAGACGGAATACGGCCGCTCGTCATCTCCGTCTTGGAGCGGAAGTCCTGCTGACGCTCCGGCAGGTCCAGGTCGGACTCGGTGGGAGAACAGGAGGACTGGCGAGCGTCGGTGGCGGTGGTGGTCTCCGATGGAACCTCCGCCGCCGCAGACACATTTGACGTCGACTTCACAGGCTCATCGGCCTTCGTTTCCGCCGCTTCGGATGCCTCCGTCGCCTCAGCTGTCTCCTTCGCGTCCTTTTCTTCAGCGGTAGACTCACTGGCTGCGGTCACTGCCTCCACGTTAATCACCGTGACAACGCTCTCTCGGTTCCCGGCATCCAGACTGCTGGCGCGTGGCGGCGGCGGCGGTTTTCGCCGCATCACCACCGTACTGTCTGAGCCGCTGGTGTTGGAGGCAGTGCCGGTTCCAGTGCTTCCCCGACCCACCAGTTCATACTCGCTCTCCGGCGCCGTCCTTAGACCGCTGTCACAGTGGAAGGACGTGTAGTATCCCTCCGTGTCACACGAAAACGCCGAGCTCGTATCACCATCACCGTCCTCGGCATCAGCGTCCGGGAAGTCTGGCGTCACCGTATCATCACTGGCAAACGATACCTCCTCCAGCCTGCCGCCGTCCGACAGTCCCGAGTCCACAGGCGACGTGATGCGGCCGGGCGGCGAGTGGGGCGCTTCCTCTGCCGGCGAGGTCACCGTGCCGGAGTCTGCCGGTGACACGACCCGCTCAGAGTCGGCAGAGGTGCGGTTAGAGCCGCCGCTGCCGTGGCCAGACGAGGAAGCCTCGGAGAGGGCTGCGGCGCGCCGGCGCACGGCCGCCGCCGGGCCGACCGGCAGCGGCAGACGGGCGCGCGTTGAACGGATCAGCTCGTAGACGGGCTCTCGTTCCGGAGGGTCGAACGTGTTGGCGGCGCCCAGCTGAGGTAGTCGGCTGACGGAGGAGCTACCCTCTGCCATGGCGCGCTCGATGTCCGCGCACACCGTGTGCCTCGTGAACGACGGCTCCTGAAACAGAGAGGGTTAGGGGTCACGTAACTTAGACGACTGCTGCAACATGGAGGGGCAGGAGTCACGTGACTAGGACGAATGCCGTGACGCACAGGGTCACGTGACAAAAGAGTATCCTGTAACAAAGGGACACGTAACTAAGAAGGCTGCCGCAACACACAGGGAACAAAAATCACGTGTTTAAGACGGCTCCAGCAGCACGCGGGAGCGCGGGAGTCACGTGACTTGGCGCTGTCGACAGAGGACCGTCGGTAGGACAGAGAACGGGCGCGGCTCGAGCTCACACCATCCTCCCCGGGGAGACGCGCCTCACAGGGTGACAGTAATGGTCCTCTAAGAGAGCGCTCACATTGCGGAGAGCAAAAACACATCAACGGGGGTCCGTCAAGAGCGCCGCCAACACCAGAACACAAAGAGGCCGACAGTGAAATGACGGACAAAACCGAGTGACGACAGCTAGCCTGCAGCCGGAGGCTGCTTTCTGAGCGGAAAAACCGCGAGAGGAAACGTTAGATGTAAACGAGAGTTAGCTTGCAAAACATTGTGTATCAATTGAAACGATCAAAACCAGCGGAGAGTGATCAAGTTCAAAGCGACGTCAGAAGGTGAGCGGTAACATAGCCCGGGGATACACGTGCCGTGCCCAAGGCTATGTTTCGGTGTGCAGTCAAAACAGCCGACAGGGGGCGACGCACGGTCTTGTGCACGCCTCGGTTGCAAACGGGGGAGGGACTGAGGTGCCGAGAGGGGCGTCACGGCTCCATTGGTCAGGGCCGAACCAACACAACACAGCGGGAGCTGTTCACAAACAGGAACACCACATCAGCATTGGCAGAAAACACACCGCAAAGGAACAGTTCGACTGACGCTCGGTTACATACCACGGATCAGGGATGCTCAAAAGCAGACGCATGGATAAGTAATCACAAGTGGTTTGGGTTAACCCGTAAGTTCCGGAAATAGTTATCCAATGAATTGGGTAAAAATAGGAGGAATAAACATAACAAGAGGGCGATGCTATTAAAACACACAAACACACACTGAATACAAATGGCGAGGCGTTAACGTGAAATGAACAATGGACATACCACACAGAGTTTTGTACGCGTGATAACTTCGGGTGCCTTAACACAATACTGACGTGTCATTTCACACACCCCACACCCCCTCCCTGCCGTTTCCCCACATCCCTCGTATGTCCTCACCTGCTCGTCCTCTGCCGTGCTAAGTTCGGTGTCCACCTCCGTCTGGGTCTGCTGGTCGTCCCGACCCGTGGAGGCTGCCGTGCTCCGGGTGCCCAGCGTACCGGACGTACTGCAACACAGAGAGGGAACGGCGGTTACGAGACGTGCCCGAGAGGTGCAGGAGGGGGGAGGTAGGGAGGGGGAGGAGAGAGAGGGGAGAGAGAGGGGAGAGAGAGAGAGAGAGAGGGAGAGGGAGAGGGAGAGGGAGAGGGAGAGGGAGAGAGGAGAGAGTGAGGAGAGCTATCAAAAAGAACGAGAGGCGATAAAGAGGGAAGAAGAGAGCGGTGGGCGGAAAGGCAACGGGCAGAGACGGCAGGGCGGCAGCCAGGAGTCAGGGCGGTTGTTCAGCTGAGCTCGCAGCCTGCACAACCGGGATACACTACCCAATAGATGGCTGGTCACGCGTCTACTGATGTAACCGCGGTCCTAACAGGTCACAGCGTGTCTGACTTGGAATGCGGTGAGAGACGTCACGGAGATCACTCTCTGACATATAACCAGCTCTGCCCGCCACGAGAACACATGCACAGACTTGCCACAGGCACATACGTGCACGCACAGGCATGTATTCCACAGACACAAGGACCAAAACAAGGGACGCTGCTCATGGTCGACACTCACGTAAATATAAGCATCCAATCTCAAGGTGACAAGTAATCTAAATTAACAAGCAAATTCCAAGTGGTTTGGAGTTAGTTTCAAATCGAGCACGGCACGACTGTCCTCTCACCTGGGCAGGTCGTGACGCAGCGCCGCTTCCGCGATCTCCCGCGTGTCGCCGATCGTGTTCCGACGGTTGCGGTCGCGTCGCTTTCGTCGTCGTTTGACGTAATCGAACTGCAACGGTCGACGGCGGTACAGAGTTCAGTCGAGAGGGAGGGGAAGGGAGGGAAGGGGACACCACACCGTCACAGCACAGCACAGCATAACCTTCGCCGACTGCACACAAATGCCGACAAAAAAAAAATGCATGTCCCATCCACGAGTTCACCGACACCTGGGGACGAGGGCTCCATTACCGACACCGCGACTGGTCCATCCAGCCGCTCCACACAACAGGAATCCTACACAGTACACCTCCATCTGACCTGTCGGTGACCCAACCAGCGGCAGAAGCGGCTCAGAGGACCACTGGTAACAGGGGCCAACGTTAGTGGGCGGGACAGAGCACAGGGCAGCTTAGAATAACCTGACACTGGTTATCATCACAGTAAGGTAAATACGCAGCTGACAGGTGTACTTACACCGTGATGTCATCTGCTACTATTTAACAGACGACGCATTACCATAAGTAATTCATTATGCATACAGCGTAGCAGCAGTGCGACATAGCCCAGTGTGTCTGTACTCTGTATGCCGGCAATGTGACTCACTAGCGGGGAAGGTCGGGAAAGCAGTATCCATGATCCAAGTGTCCTACCCTAATATAGGTGCCGTACCAATGCACCGATATACTTTTTTAGGCGATGCGATATCGACACTGGGCAATACCAACTCCACAAGCTACAGCAGTCTCCATGGAGACTTATATGCTTATATGCATATAAGGCATCTCGCTTTGAGGTAACTCAGGTTTCAGCACAGGGGTAGGTCAACTGTGGAACTTCCACGGTCCACCAATAAACATGTAACTCAATTGAAGCGCTTCAAACACCTGACACGCATGCTAGGTACCGAGACAGTGCCTAGACTCTGCAAAAGACACTGCTTCCTCACAGTGCAACGATACACGACAGCCAGTCTGTAACAATATCCCCGCTCAATACTCACGTGCACAAGTGACTGTCGGAACTTGACGAGCCGCTGGAACCCGGTGCCGGTGACGTCCACGGGGACCACCTCGGCAGTGAACCGCTGGGCGCGCGCCTCCGTCACCCGCTCCGGCGGCGGCAGCTGGTACAGGGCTCCCTGTGGAACGGAGAGGGTAGTCAGGTCACCGGGTCACAACATAGTTTATACGAGGGCAGATCAGTTAAGGTCAGATTAGTCCACTAGTAAGATAGACGCTAGCAGAGCGCACAGGACACTCACCAGTTTCTTGCGGAGCATTGCCATCAGCTCTTTTGGAGCGCACCGTCGAAATTTATCAGCCTGAAAGGCGCAGGGTCCACACTCCGCAGTGCACACAGTATGACTGGAGTGGTGGTCTGAACACGACCTGCACCATGCCGACCGGCGGGCACGGACTGCCTGCTGCCTGTACGTGTACGTGCCACCACACAGAGTGTGCTCACAGAGAGGGTTGGACGGGACAGGGGGCGGGTCGGGTGGGTGGCAGGACTCGATCATGTGGGTGCTGATAGGATTCACTTATGGGAACTGGGTGGGTCCCATTGCAACAGTTGGCGCTGGTCAGGGTAAGACGGACGAGTTCTGGTGAGATTCAACAGTGATGGTTCATATCAACTCACTTCAAACCAACCACTACGCATTCCGCATGAGTAGCTTTCTGAGCTCAGCTCAAACTAGCCTGTTTATGTGCTACATCGCTATATCTTACACCTCAGCCCAGCCCCAGCCAGCCCAGCTCTCTCTACACCTCAGCCCTAGGCAGCCCACCTCTCGTTGGTCTCGGCACGGCTCCGTCACATAAACAAACGATGGCGTGATGGTGGATAGCACAGAACCACCCGCCCCGAGGACGGCTAGCGGACAGTCCAGGGGGGGGGGGTCGCCGTCTACCCCCACCCCTCATCTCCACTTCAGTGGTTTACATGATCACTGATCAGTGATCGGTCTATCTTACCACCCCTGACGACCTATTGAATATGACAGCCCACAATCGACTGTGACAGGACACAGTGCCCTCAGTTCCTCTGATCAGCTGATGAGCGCTTCCAGCACCCCGCTACGGCCATGACCCACCGCCGTTCTGCACACTGCAGCCTAAACACCGCGCTGCAACTCATGTTTATTGACTTCACGGGGCCGCGGCGAGAACAGGCCGGCCGTGTCACGGCTGATTTAATCCAAACAAGGCGGTCCGCCGGGCTGCTGATCTAACGGGCACGGAATGTGTTCCCGTGCCCTTTAAAGGGAACCAGGGATCGCTGGGGCGTGCCAGAGATGGACATTCTGTTTGAACGGGAGGTTATCTAGGAGATGGTACTCGTTGGAAGAGGTTAGTTCAATGGGCATCAGCGGGCTGCACCTTTGTTGGGATAGACTGGGGAGAAAAGCTGACTGAGGAAAGGAGAGAAGGATGCATGGACGCCATGCATTGAGCAATGAAGCATAAAAGACGTGGAGGCCAGGAGAAAATAACGCAGCCATGGTCAGGATATACGGTATGGGAGACTTGGGTCACCAGGCCAACTCTAATACGCATCTATAACTTGCGTATAATCGTACCATCATATCTAATTAATGACGTTTAAAGGGACCATCCCACCTTAACATTAGTTTTGAGTTGAGATAGCCAAGTTTGCGGCCAGGCTCAGAAACCACCATTTATCCTGGTCGCAACCCCCGCAGCTTTATGGTGTTCAAGAAATTTCTTCCCTTTACTTGCAGGGTGGGACCAGCTTAGTCCCTATCTCTTAACCATTAGCGGTTTTTTGATGACGTCAGCAGTCATTTCAACGCCCGCCATTCCTTGAACCCGAGTTTTGCTGACCTTGAGCTCCCTTTTTTATCAACGTGAAATCCGTCGTCGGCGCTGAGAAAGCCTATTGCTTTTCATTTTAATTTGAATATTAGAAGATACCCACCACTGGAACTTGGACTGATATTAGGGGAGAGCGGGGAGAGTTGTATCATGTCCAAGTTGTATCAGGGCGATTTGTGCCAAACTTATCCAATGGATGGCGCTCGCGACACGACCAGCCGACGAGGTTTTCCGGGCGCCATCTTTATCTGTTCTGTCTTGTGGCTGAGTGGACGCGTCTCGAGGTGAGAGCCGATTTTATGTTTTTTTAATGTCATTCTAAAAAAATAAGTTGCAAGCAAATGTGTGTTCAGGGCATTTAGATGTGCACGAATTTGAAAGATCTCCGTAGCGGTGGTGAGGGTAGGTTCTAAGGCTGCGTGAGTGAAAACGGATTTCTCCAGCTGTCCGCTGTTTTTTGAGGACGAGGATGTTTTTTTCCAAGATGGCGGCTAGGTACATGTTGTATCAGAGCCGGGTGGGGTATGTTGTAACATGTATGTATGTATGTACCTATGTATGGGTATGTTGCTTTTGATCGCGAAAGCTGAGCCCTGGCTCGCGTTTGTAGGTAGCTAGTCAATGCTCGTTCCATTTCGGCACAATGTGTTGGCTTCTTTGCTCTTAACGGGCCACTTTTGCGTCTAGTCTGTTGATGTTTCGTTCGGATTGCATTGACCTAAGTTTGGTCTAATAAAGTGAAGCCTTTGAGCATACCTATACATTGTATTAACCCCATTTAATGTTGTTGTTATGTTCAAAACCAGTAGCAAGCACACTCCCTGAAACGTGAAATAGTGATACAAATTACCCCACCATGTGATACAACTCACCCAAGCCATGGGGCAAGTTGTATCAAAAACATTGTTCTATTCGGGAGACCGTAGAAGAAAAACTGGTAGAGGCAGCGGAAAAGTTACTTTGCACAAAAAAGCAGAAGAATCGAGGAAGGGGATAGTATGGAAATAATGAGTTTATCACGGATAGTTACGAGGTTTTGGGTCTCGGAGTAAAAACTGATACAACCCACCCCACTCTCCCCTATACCAAGGCCGAAGGTGATCAAGCTGCCAGGGGCGTAGGATCCTATACAGTTGGGGGGGCTTCAGCCCCCCCAACTGGCTGGTCAGCCCCCCCAACTTGCCAGTCAGCCCCCCCAACATTTTAACCCGCGCCCTGCTGGGGGTCCTGGATTTCCACGCCCTGCTGGGGGGGGGGGGTGTTTGAACACCCCCCCCCCTTCTAACTCAGCTCCTGGGCCACGTAGCGATACGCCGAAGGCGGCGTTCAAAAGAGCGTCAAAAATAATGAGGAAATCACTTCGGTCAATTTTTTGGTCAGGTCAAAGGTCAGGTCACCAGAGGTCATTGAAGGCAAAATTTCGCCGATTTCCAGGTCGAATGTCGACAATTTCCAAGAAGCCAACGCATAACTCGGGAACCAATAGAGCTACAGCGCCGCGGAAGAGCGCATTCGATAGCCCTATTAACGCCCTTTCTGAGTAATGTTCTCAGATTTGACCTAATGTCAACGGTTTTGCCTGCAGGGGGCAAAAACTGCAAAAATAACCGATTTTTTCGGAAACAGTTTTTCTGCAATAACTTTTGACCCAAGCCTTGTACGAGCTTACTTTTACCGGCATCGTGTTCCTCTCGTCAAGACGCATCGAATGAACTATAACTTGACCCTGAAAGGTCAACTTGAAAATTTGACCTCAGGTCAAGGTCATGACCTGACCGGAAAGGGTCATGTTGCATATCAGTCGATCCGTATCGTCGAGCTGAACACATCTAAGGCGTTTTCATCGCTCTAGCATGCCTCTATCAAAAGTTATTTGCGAAAAACTGTTAGATACCATTCGTGACCTAAGATGACCTTAGGGCATAAACAGGGGTCACGGACACCATTTTCATGTTCAGTGTGTCTAAACCACTTGTAATTCAGTGTTTGGGAGTGTTTATAATGTCTTTCGTCCAAAAGAGGCGCATTTCAATTTTCTCCCATTGACTTATAATGGGGAGGTCGCAAAATTGACCTGACCTTAGGTCATCGATATCAAAATTCTTAGATATACATTTTGTACATGCTATTGCTTTTAGCAATCTCTGAAAGTTTCAAAGCAATCGGTCACTCGGTGTAGCTCTGACAGACATTGAAACTTTTTATGAGGTGAGGTCACTTCAAGTGACCTGGTGACCTGACCTTGAATGACCTTGGTCTGAAATTTTCACAACATGTGTAGAATTGATGTATGATAAGGTGTACCAAAAACGGCGGCGCTCCGCGCCGCCGTTTTTGAGATATTCGCGAAAAACCACAAGGGGGGGTGTTCAAACACCCCCCCAGCAGGGCGCGGGTTAAAATATGGACAAATCAAAGAAAGCTCAACTTGGCAAGGTTAAATGGCACTATTTTGGGGAGTAGTAAAGCAGGCGTCACACTTCTTTTTGCAACCAAGGAGAGACACTGTAGGTTAGGCTGTAGGTTGTAGGTTTTAGGTTTTAGGTGGTAGGTTTTAGGTTGTAGGTTGCAGGTTTTTGGTTGTAGGTTGTAGGTGAAGTTAGGTCAGGTTTGGTTAGGTTTGGTTTGGTTTGGTCCGATTAGAAGGCATCTCTGGAGTCTGGGTATAGCGCCTCTCTGCTTTACGACTACCCAATTTTGGCCTTAGAACTAACTGGGGGCCTTGAAAATGTGCATTGCAATGGAGGGAATAAATTTAATTTATAAAATGACATTCGAGTCATAAGAAAGAACATACTAGCAAAACAAATCCAGGAAGGTACACACACATAAAAATCAACTGTGGTTTTAGCAAGCCGGAGGCCCTTTGCAGAGATGAGGTCCTCTGTAGAGAGGAGGCCCCCTGTAAAGACTAGAGAGGAGGCCCTCAAGGATGCCCTCTGAAAGGGATAGACCCTCAGTAGAGAGATGTCCTCTGTAGAGAGGAGGCCTTCTGTAGTTGAGAGGCCCTGTGAAAAGAGGAGGCCCACAGTACAGCGGTGGTCCTCTGTAGAGAGGAGGCCCTCTGTTTTTTTTTTTTGCAAATTGTACGCACAGGTCAATACGAGATCGTGACTGTAATTACACCAACCGTGTCAAATTGAATCGGAATTCATATGTGCACTGTGGAGTGTGAAGGAACTCCGGCTTGTACTACCATGCTAAAAGAGTTGTAAAATGTGTGATTTTGAGCTTTGTTTTGACAAATGCTCTTGCAAATTTTCTCGGCGCTCCGCGCCTCCGATTTTTACACCAATCAATA